CTCCGTCGCCAAGTTGACTCGCTCTCGTGCAAAGTTGTGCATCACTTCAAACCGGGCCTGGAGATCTTGAATATATTCCTCAGACGATGAAGGAGCATCCGGAGGGAGACCAAACAATAGATCACAAGGCAGACGAAGGTCACGACCGAAGAGCATCTGTGATGGGGAATAGCCGGTAGTCTCGTGGACAGCACTGCGGTAAGCCAGTAAAAACAGTGGTAATTTCTTGTCCCAGTCCTGTTGGTTTCTGGAAACCACTAATGAGAGGTTATTAAGGATGGTTCGATTGAACCTCTCTACCATGCCGTCCGACTGGGGATGTAATGGCGTCGTTTGGGTTTTGTCAATGCCGAGTAGTTTGCATAGTTCTTTGATTACTGCCGAGGTAAAATTCCTTCCCTGATCGGAATGTAACTGAAGAGGCACTCTGAACCTGGAAATCCAGTGCTGTATCATCACCTCAGCTACTGTGACAGCCTCTTGATCAGGAATAAGGTACGCTTCAGGCCACTTGGTGAAGTTATAAATGACGACGAGGATGTATTTGTTGCCATCAGCAGTTCGTGGCAGAGGTCCCAGGATGTCAAAGGCGATACGTTTAAAAAGGCGCACCTACGTTGTAACGTTGCAGCTTGCCTCGGCTGCGTTCCCTCGGTCCTTTCCGACCTGCACAGGCATCGCAAGATCGGCACCACTTTTTGCACGTCATCCTTTGCATTATTCCAGTAAAAGCGCTCACGAACTCTCTGTAAGGTCTTCATTATTCCAAAGTGACCTCCTGTAGGGCTGTTATGTAGTTCTTTAAGGACATCAGGAATCCGGGATCTTGGAAGTATCATTTGCCATCGGAACGTCTTCCCATCATCCGATTCGAATTTCCGGTATAAGACGCCGTTTCGAATGTGAAGTGAATCCCAGAGTGCCCAATATTGTTTGGTTGTAGGACTACAGATAGAAATGTCCTGCCAGGTAGGTTTTCTGTTTGATGACTCCATTAAATCAATTATGGGTTTAATGTCGCGGTCTTCCAGCTGGTCTTTCCTGACTTCATCATCACTCCACGGTTCTCGATCAGCCGATGTTGATGTTGTAATTTGTCTTGCGACCGGAGTCAGCAGCTCGTATTTCGCTTCCACCCTGGAACAATATCGGCAGCTTTCTTGGCAAGGTCTTCTAGACAGGGCGTCGGCGTTTCCCGTGTGATGATCCCTTACGATGACGGATAGTGATGTCATATTCTTGGAGTCTCTGTATCCACCTGGCTATTTGACCCTCAGGATTCTTGAAATTTAAAAGCCAGGTCAATGATGCATGATCGGTGCGGAGGAGGAATTTTTTTGCCGTATAGATAATGATGGAAACTGTTCTATACAGCTTTGACTATGGCGAGCAACTCTTTCCTGGTGACACAAGTAATTCCTCTCCGGTTTAGACAGGCACTTGCTCCAGTAAGCTACTACACATTCTTGGCCGTCTATTTCTTTGGACAAAACAGCACCGACACTTTCATTGCTCGCGTCTGTGCCTAGAATAAATGGTCTGTCAAGCTGAGGATACATCAGGATCGGAGCAGATGTTAAAGCCTCCTTTAAGTTGTTAAATGCATCCTCGCAATCTTTTGTCCACAAGAACTTTTGCTTGCTCTCTGTCAGCTTGTGAAGAGGTCTTGCGATGGAAGAAAAGTCCTTCATGAATCTCCTATAGTAGGTGCAAAGCCCTAGTAGGAATAGCTCCTATAGTAGGAAGCTTCTCAGCTGATGGACATTTTCGGGACGTTTCCAGGATTTAACGGCTGACACCTTTTCAGGATCCGTGCACACACCTTCTGCAGAGATGACATGTCCCAGGTAAGTCACTTCCTTTTGGAACAATTTGCATTTAGCGGGACTCAGCTTCAGATTGGCTTCTTTCAGTTTCTGAAGCACCTTTCTAAGATTTTCTAGATGCTCTTCAAAACTCTTTCCGACGATGATGATGATATCGTCCAGGTATATCAGGACAGGCTTCGTAGGAAAGACCTTTCAAAACAGTCTCCATGAGGCGTTCGAATGTTGCCGGCGCATTACACAGTCCAAACGGCATCACCTTGAATTGCCAAAGCCCTTGTCCCGTAGTAAATGCCGTCTTTTCTCGGTCATCAGGGTGTATTTCTACCTGCCAATACCCACTCTTTAAATCAAGTGTTGAGAACCACTTGCTTCCAGAAAGAGTGTCTAGAATGTCGTCAATTCTAGGAAGAGGGTAACTGTCTTTCTTCGTAACCTCATTCAACCGGCGATAGTCAACGCAAAATCTTGTTGAGCCGTCTTTCTTTCTGACTAGGACGATGGGAGATGCCCATGGACTTGCTGAAGGCTCGATGACATCGCCTTCTTCCATATCCTTTAACAGTGTTCGCACCTCTTCCTGTTTAGCAAACGGTAGACGTCTTGGATGTTGCTTGATCGGGGGATGATCGCCGGTATCGATTCTATGTTGTGTCAAACTAGTTCGACCCACGTCAGAAGACGAGCGGGAGAAAACAACTTGAAGATCTTTAATGACGCGATCGGCAGCATTCTTCTCTTTATCGTTTAATTGCGCGTTCTGGAGTAACTCTGATGTAATGCTTTCTGAAGACACGGATTCTTGGATGTTACTCTTTCTTTCAATGCTGGTTACTGGAGTACATGCTGCAACCACTTCACCTTTCTTAATAATTCTCGTCTTCTCAGTTACATTGGCGATTCTCACCGGGATAACCGTTCTGGGTAGGTCGACGAGTGTTGAGGCTACTAGTACTCCTTTTGGGCTATTACAGTTATTTGGATATTCTATGATGCCATAGCAGAAATTTCTGCTTTCGGCTATGGATCCAGGAAGTAAAATTTCTGTTCTGGCTGGTATTGTGATATTGTCTTGTGCTATAATTTTATGGACAGATTTAACTTCTTCATCATTAACTCCAAATAACGCTATGGCCTTAGATGTAGAATGCAATTCGTTATTTTTAAAGTCTAAGGAAAAATTGTATTTCCTTAGAAAGTCCAATCCAAAACAGTTCAGGAGTTCGCCACGGATGTTGAAAGAATGTCACGTCATACCTTTTCAGAGTGCCCGACAGAAACAAGGGAAATCCTGTCCCTGCAATATTTCATCGATGGCATCTGGGACCCTGAAATACAGAAAGCACTGCGAATGGCGGATGTTAAAAATCTGAAAAGCGCTTTAGTGTACGCCATGAAATTTGAGGCAGCCTAGCAAGCCACCCGTCGAGACCGCCATCCAGTCAGGGCTGTTTAAGTCCAGAAGTGGGGTCCCGGCCGAGCCTCCAGGGGCAGTTACGAATTTGGTATTTAAAAAGCTAATGTTAGTTCAATTATAAATTAAATGGTTTTATTTCTTGCGCAGTGCAGCGCGTGATGAATATTAAAAGAAGCTAAGCCGGAAAATTGAAAATACAAGAGCACGTGCATTAAATAAATAAATATCTCTTTTTGATTTCGAGAAAGTACTAGAGAATTCTAGTACCAAATTTTTGTCTGAACCAAAAATTGTTGCATGCGTACAGGTTCGTTACGAAAAGAATGCACAAGTCCGATGAAAAATGAACAAAAATTTATTATTATCACAACAAAAATGCTTAAATTTTCTCAAATTATCATGCAGTATTACAATATCTCACAGTAGTTATCTTTTAACTACTCAAATGTCCAACAGAACGTAATTCAAAACAGCTAAAGAATGCTAATCCGCGAATTCGCTACAGTCAACAAGAGCAGTTTTCTAAACAACAAGAAACTAAGCAGCAACTACGAACTGAGAGGTTTTCCTCATTTTATAAAATTTTAAAAATCATGCGCTAGAATTTTCTAGTATTTTCTCGAAATCAAAAAGAGATATTTATTTATTTAATGCATGCGCTGTTGTATTTTCAATTTTCCGGCTTAGCTTTCTTTTAATATTCGTCACGCGCTGCACTGCGCGAGAAATAAAACCATTTAATTTATAATTGAACTAACATTAGCTTTTTAAATACCAAATTCGTAACAATATATTCATTTTCACTTGAGTATACATTACTTATCTTTGTAATTAATTTGTAATTTTATTAATATAGTAGCATGAGCTAAAAACAAATTAGATATTAATAAATTATTTTTTATTGTTTGTCAAATGCCAGTTACATTGGCCGTTAGGCCATTAAACTCCTTGCTTGCCAATAGTGCCGAAATCTACAAGAAAAATTTGCCAGTGCTTCACACTCATCCAAATGTTCCACCGTCATTGGCTGTCCACTATTACATAAAACACACAACGGCGAATCGGCTAGTCCAATGCGAAATAAACAAATCTGTACACAGTCATGTCCTGTCAATAGACTAAAAGATGCAACCGCAACTGTTTGCGGGTGGTCAGGAACAAAAGCTGGGTTTGATGAGAGAGCACTCCAAGGCTTGCCCTCACAAGCCCGAGTGGCAAAATCTCTAAAAGTCTCTGATATGTTAGCGATGTCAGAAGCTTAATAGAATGGATGCTTGCACTCATTTTTGGCTTTTGGAGAACCGTTTATTAATAAATTAACATATCACACTTTACTAAAGAAATTCTTCCTTTAACATCTAGTAAATCCAAGGTAAATACATTATGCAAATCAATAATTTCATCACTGATTTTTTAGTTTTTCTAAGTTAACCATCTTCACAAAAGACCAAAATTGTCTAGAATTTTTAATAATCATGGAGAAAATTCATATTTATTTAACAGAAATATTCTGTTCTCTATAATGGAACTTGTAAATCACTTAATAATTTTTGTTTATTAAATGAATTACGCAAGTTTTACTTATATTTCTTGCTTCAGTTATGCAATTCAGACAGGATTCAAATATTGTAAAATAGATTATCAGTTGAACATTAATTTAACATTCCATATTCAATCATTAGTAAATTTATATATGTATAATTTTTGTAGGAAAGATTATTTTACATTTAACCTTTATACATTTATTAATTTTACAGGTATGGAATCTTAATTGTTTGTCTTGGAGAGGTAGAATTAATGAGGGTTGTTTAGCAATTACTCATGCATCTTGGGCTCCTGACAGCCGACACATTCTTATTCTTTGTGAATTTCACGTAAGTCACAAATTTTTGTTCTAGAACAAGATGTAATTTTCCAGTTTTCTTGCGAGAATTAAATATATTATTAATATATCAGATATCGTGTCTTAAATTAGCTCCTGATGAGCTTTCAAATTAAAGTGTACTGTCAATTATACAAGTGCAAAATACTGGTGCATTCATGGTGGTGCCGATGCATGCAATGCAAAACATGAACAAGTTCGAGCAGGCTATAAAAAAAAAAAAAAAAAAAAAAAAAAAAAAAACTACTGAATTGCATGCATCTTTAGGTTTAGTTTCAATGATTCCCTTGTGTAATTTGTCCTGTATGTGCATAGGCAAAATAGCTAATTATGAAGAAGTTGAAACGATAACTGAAGCCACAGAATTGGAAATATAAAATTCTCTGAATATGTTGATCAAAAAAACATCAAGGAATAGTTCAATGGCGATTCGGCTAAGCCAAACTTTCACTGCATGAGTATGAATATTGTTCCAAATGTCACAAGAATAGAAGAGGCAGAGAATAATACTGAAAATGCAAGTGAAGAAGATACTGACAGTTTCATCTTGAGACCACAATAATATCTATTGAAATTACTCTGGACTTCATGAACCAAACGGGATTTGAATGCAATGACAAAATAACACTTCGAAAAATGCACAGTGAAATTCGTCAAATATTTTAGTTTATCAAAAACAAAGTAAAATTACCTTTTTTTTTTTTTTTTTAAAAAAAAAGAAATAAACACATACCATACTATGAAAATAAGCACATACTATGAAAACTTATAGTTTGAATTATACTTATTTTTGAATTATATGTGGCCTTCTCATCAGGGAGCAGGCCATGGATTAGCTTGGATACCTGTTAGCTGGAGTAATTAAAAATACACTGTATATAGTAATTTTTTTGTTGTTATTATTATTATATTGTAGGGTTTATATTTATTTTAACTAACATTTATTTTAAGTTTAAACTATCTTTCCTGTCAAGCCTTACTTTTCCCTGGAACTGCCAATGCCAGAATATGTAAATTTGAGTAGAACGCGCAAGGATTCAAATTATCAGCGGAAGTATTATGATTTAAATAGAAAGGAAACAAGTTCGGGGTGTGATATTCTTACTTCACGAGCGCGGAGGTAGTTAGCGAGAAATTGGAGAACCCCGCGTTTCGGCCTATGTGCTTGGCGGGAAGTAGTGTTAATCGTCCAAGTGAGCTTCAAGTCTGCTGAATTAACAGCGGTATTGTAAAACGCGGTGAGTTAGTTATTTTAGAGAGCCTCGTAGTTAGAGTCTTGTCTTTAGTTTCTTTTCAGGTTATTATTTTTATTTGACTGCCGAGTTGGCACAGTCTGTGAGCGTCAAGAGCACGCAATTGTAATTTTTACGTTGAATGAAAAGGGACTTAAACCCTTCACAAGACTCTGTGTTTTATACAGTTTTCACAGTCACCTCTTGGTTGCGTGCAAGTTGGAGGCGCGCAACGTTACATTGGCGCCCAAACACTTATCGAACTGAAATGGCCGAAAACTGGATGGAAGCCGCTGGACAACACCAAGAAATGACAAGCCAGTTAGAAGGATTTGGATACCTGGTCCAGACTTTGAGAGCGTCAATCAAGCCAAACGTCCATTTCGACGGAAAAATTCGGTGGTGGCGGTATTTCTAGAAGGTCTAGAAAACCACTTTCAGCTCTACCCTGTTCCCGAAAGACAAAAAGTTGCCAGCGCCACATCAGCACTAAGAGGACAGGCCGCGCTATGGTGGAAAAACATCGGCAAATTTTTATTAGGGGAATTTGGAAGCCAGACATATATATTTGAAAATTTCAAAAAATCGTTAGTAAAGGCCTTCCCCATAGTGAAAGATTGCGCGCGGCTGGAAGCCGAGCTATATAGTTTCTATCAACGGGATACAGCAGAATTGACGGACTTTATTCTACGAAAAATCAAGTTAACGGATATGCTGTATGGAAAGAAACCCGATGCGGAGATTATTGAAATAATATTACCAAGATTGTTACCCGCTGTTCAAGACTACTTTGAAATTAGAAACCCAAGCACATTGCAGGAACTCTTCGAATTGGCGGTGAAGTTTCAAAATCGCAGAATAGCGGAAAAAAGCGAGAGGGGAAACATATTCTCAAAGTAACCGAAGGAAATCTTCAAAGGAGGAAACCAGAAATGGAAATCGCTCTTATGGGGGAAAAGCTATCAAGCTAACGCATCGAAACTCGAAGGTCAAGGCCCAAAAAGAAAATTTGAAAATAAACATCCGCGTACCCAGAAGACACAGATTGAAAGGAAAGCTTTAAACGAGTAGAGGGGCCTGTGAAAGGGAGGGTCCAGACCCCGGAAGTTTTAAAAAAACCCTCAAATAGACATTTAAATATGGTCATCGTAAAAAACTCACAGCTACCAATTATACAAGTCCTGGTTGGCGATGTACCAGTAGAAGCCCTCATCGATACAGGCAGAAGGAAATTTTATGAGTGAAAATTTCTTCAAAAGAATTTTTATAGGGTACGACTATTTAAAACCAAAATACGGAAATTATAGCGGCGCAAGGAAAAACATGTCACTGCATCGGGAAATTATCATTAAACTTACAGGTAAAAGAGGAAAGTCTCAAAGTATTAATTTTTGTGGTGAAAGATCTGCAACATTCTCTTATTTTAAGTATGGACTTTTTAAGGGCCACGAGGGCCAAATTAAATTTTCAAGATAGTTCCGTGGTGTTGGAGATGGACCAGAGGGTGGTGGAACCTGTGGAGACACCGCTATTGGACCTTAGCCATCTGAATGACCATGAAAGTAAAGCAATACAGCAAGTGGTGAGTAATTTTTCTCATTTGTTTTCAGAAAAACCAGGAAACTGCCAAATAGTAACGCATAAGATTCAATTAAATGCCGAAAAACCTTGTAGGACTAAACCTTATCGCTATGACAAACAAAAAGACGTAATCATCGAGGAACATATTCAGGAGATGTTAAAGAATAAAATAATAACGCCCATAATTCGATTCTGCTGGAAATGGATCGGAGGGTGGTGGAGCCAGTGAAACAACCGCAGGTAGACCTTAGCCATTTGAATGTCCATGAAAGCCAAGCCATCCAGCAAGTGGTGAGTACTTTTTCAAACTTGTTTTCAGAACGGCCTGGTAACTGTCAAATTGTAACACATGATATACAACTAACTGCCGATAAACCCTGTAGGACTAAACCGTACCGGTATGATAAACAGAAAGAGCAAAATATTGAGAAACACATTCAGGAAATGCTGCAGAACCAGATAATAACGCCCATAAATAGTGAGTACGCGAGTCCAGTCGTACTATGTAGGAAAAAGAACGAGTTTCCTCCTTCGGATAAAAGGGCTTGGAGTTTTGCTATTGATTACAGAAAACTAAATAGTATTACCAAATTTCCAGTTTACCCTTTGCCGGTTATAGACGAGATCATTAGACAGATCAAATCGACAAGATATATGTCTACTTTGGACTTAACGTCTGGCTACTATCAAATAGCTATGAGACCCGAAGATATACATAAAACCGCGTTTATAACAAAATCGGGCACTTATGCATTTTTACGCATGCCCTTTGGGTTGTGTGGGGCCCCATCAACATTCCAGAGAGCTATGGACATTGTTCTAAAGCCTGTCCTAGGAAAATCAACTTTAATTATCTAGATGATATAATTATAACGAGTAGTACGTTGGAACAACACATTAATGACTTGGAACAAGGTTTTTAAATTATTAAAAGAGGCCGGTCTTACAATTAACGCCTCAAAATGCAAGTTCGCAACTAAAGAACTTAAATATCTCGGTTATAAAATTTCGCAAAAGGGTATAGAAACGCAAGATTCAAAAATAAAAGCTATTAAGAATTTCCCACCGCCCAACACCGCCAAGAAACTTTCTTCTTTCCTTGGGTTATGTTCTTACTATCGATCTTTCATAAAAGATTTCGCTAATATTGTTTGAACCACTCTTAGTAATCAAAAGAAAAAGGGGAAATTTACGTGGACAGCGGAAGCTAACACAGCTTTTGAAAAGATTAAAGAAGCGCTTATTAATGCCCCTGTTTTAAAATTCCCGGAGGGGGACGAAAACCTGGAAATTGCAGCAGATGCGTCAGACTATGCGGTGGGTGCGGTTCTTATGCAAAATAACCATCCGCTGGCATTTTTTAGTAAAACGTTGAATCAGACACAAAGGAATTATACAGCTACAGAAAGAGAAACATTAGCCGTATTAATGGCTGTACACAAATTTCGAGTTTATTTCGGCAAATCGCCAGTAACAGTCTTTTCGGATCATGCGGCTGTTGGTAGACTTTACTCGGGGAAAAAACCTAACGCCCAGGTTAATAAGATGGGCTTTAAAACTCCAAGAATATAATATCACAATAAAAATATAAACCGGGTAAGGAAAACAATGTAGCTGACGCACTTTCTCGTATAAAACTGGACGATGAAGGAAATGAACTTAAATGCGCTGTGTTGACTTCAAAAATTTTAGATTCTAGAGATACGGTTATTACTGAACTGAAAGCTGATCCTGAATTTGGAAATATCTATGCTTATTTGAAAGACCCCGAAAGCTTTGAGCACACAGATATCGATGCGATAAGAAATAGAGCAAAAAACTATGAAATAATAGATAATTTATTATTTATACGAAAACAACAAAACGAAAATCTTGAGTATAAGCCAGTCATCCCAGCCTCGCTTCGATTAAGCATTTTGAAGGAGTTGCACGAAGCAAAAACAGCGGGCCACCTAGGGGTCAGAAAGACTTTAAAAAGGGTACGCGAGGCGGTATATTTCCCGCAATTATACAAAATAGTAACGGCGTATGTCAGGTCCTGCAATCAATGTCAGTTAATAAATGATATTAATTACAGCCCGGCCGGGTACTTAAATAGCATTCGCGCTACATTTCCGAATGAAATTTTAGGCATAGATCTCCTTGGTCCCTTCCCCCAGAGCGAGTTAAATAAAAATCG